TAAAGATTTTATTTATTTATTTATTTATTTATTTATTTATTTATTTATTTATTTGACAGAGAGAAACACAGCAAGAGAGGGAACAGAGGCAGGGGGAGTGGGAGAGGGAGAAGCAGGCTTCCCAAGGAGCAGGGAGTCCGATGCGGGGCTTGATCCCAGGACCCTGGGATCATGACCTGAGCCGCTTCCCACGGAGCAGGGAGCCCGACATGGGGCTCAATCCCAGGACCCCTGAGCCGAAGGCAGACGCTTAACGACTGAGCCACCCAGGCGCCCCTCTTATGGTATTCTTAATAGGTCTCCCTGCCACTAGTCTATACCCTATCAGAATGACCATTTATTGATTTTTCTAAAAGAGAAAACTAATTGTGTCTCTCCACCATCTAAAATGACTTAGTTTCATTTATACTTGTGTAATGAAGATAAAATGAACATCGGGGAGCCCAGCTCTGCTCTCCTCCCTCTCCCATCAACTGCTTTCACTTCCTTGTCCAGCTGAGGGCTCCTTACCATTTTCTCCAGGCCATCTCACCCAGAATCCTCTGTGTAAACAGAGCCAAATGGGCAAAAGCAGAGGCTGGATGGATCAGGTTAGATCATAAGACTCCTGCATCCTGCTTAGCAACCTGAAGAGGAAGTTCAGTTTAATCTAGAACCTCATCAGCTTCCTGAATATGGGAAGTGAGGGACAGGGAGGGGCCTGACCCACTAGAAAGGTCACCAAGCAGGACTGCAGTTTATTCCCTGACCTGAGACACGCCCGCTGGAGAAGCAAAAGGAACCAAAAAAAGTATATGCTATAGACCAGAAAGTTGCAAGGTGACAGCCATCATTAAGTTCTTGAAGCATTACTACTATGGATGTAGATTAACCAAGCCCAGCTTTAACGAAAATTGTGGGTAACAGAGATAGTGACAGGAATAATCTTTTAACATCATGTTTTGTCTCACAAAAGTATTTAAGTATGAAATATAATAATTATATACATCATACAAAATAATTTAAAATAATGCATTAGCTGTGTAATTTAAAAACAAAAATTAACCAAATTAACTGTATAATTTATTTATTTATTTTTTATTTTTTTTTTTTTAAGATGTTATTTATTTGAGACAGAGAGAATGAGATACAGAGAGCATGAGAGGGAGGAGGGTCAGAGGGAGAAGCAGACTCCCCGCCGAGCAGGGAGCCCGATGCGGGACTCGATCCAGGGACTCCAGGATCATGACCTGAGCCGAAGGCAGTCGCTTAACCAACTGAGCCACCCAGGCGCCCTATTTTTTTATTTTTTTGAGAGAGAGCAAGCAAGCAGGGAGAGGGGCAGAGGGAGAGAATCCCAAGCCAACTCCATACTGAGCACAGAGCCAGATGCAGGGCTCGATCTCACGACCCTGAGATCATGACCTGAGCTGAAATCAAGAGTCTGATGTCCAAATGACTGAATCACCCAGGTGCCCCTAACTGTATAATTTGAAAACAAAAAATTAGCCAAACCAGCACCGCTCAATGGCTTTCACCTATAGACAGTATAAGCTCCTTAGCAAGATATACAAGATCCTTAAATTGGCTCCTTGTAACTATCCAGCTTCATATCATTATATGCTTCACTCTTCCTGCCCTAGTAATACTGACCCCTGTATACATTTTCCCAGATATTACATGTTAATTTTCATATTTATGTGATTTTGCCCATGTAATTTCTTTGCTTAGAAATTTAACCCTCTGTTGTCAGTCTTTCTGATAAATTCCTATCCATTCATCAAAATTACATCTTCCCAGATGCTCCCAGATTCAAGAAAAAAAAAAAAAGAAACAGGCGGGAATGGGTGAGGCTTAGGGGCACTTGGCTGGCTCAGCGGGTAGAGCATGAACTCTTGATTCTGGGGTTGTGAGTTCAGGCCCCATGATGGGTGTAGAGATTACTTAAAAAGCATGTGTGTGTCGGGGGGGAGGAGTGCTTAATAAATATTTACTGAATTGAGTGATTTATTTGTTTAGCTCCCCTATTAAACTCTGAGCTTTCTAATGACCAACTATCCCCTGGGAGACTTCCACTGCTAAAACCAGAACAGGGGCACTTGGCTGGCTAAGTTGGTGGCACATATAACTCTTTATCTTGGGGTCCTGGGTTCAAGCCTCATGCTGGGTGTAGAGATTACTTAAAAATAAAAAATCTGGGGCGTCTGGGTGGCTCAGTTGGTTAAGCGACTGCCTTCGGCTCAGGTCATGATCCTGGAGTCCCGGGATCGAGTCCCGCGTCGGGCTCCCTGC